CTGCCAGCAACACTATATAAAGTCACTGGAAGTTGCAGCTGTATGACTTATTAGAAGAGCACAAAGATTTTTCTTGCAATTACTGGACACGACAGATATGGACATTTAATACTACCTTTTTCACTACTCAAATTCAGATGACAGGATCTTGTGATTATAGCTAAAAAAAAAGAGAGAAGTTCCATACATTTCATTATTACTTTTGGCACAAGATAACTTCACAACTCAGTTGAAAATTAACACTATTGTAACAATGCAATATAAACTTTTTCTTACTTTTAACTAAGACAAAAAGCAAGCAGTGGAAAAGGAAGAAAGGAAACTGAACAATAAAGCTTTGTGAAGATCAGCTGATATTGAATCCATCATTTTTCAAGAGTTGACCAAGTATCTGCTGCCGGAGAAAAATCAGAACTTTAGTTCTCAGGTGTGTACTGAGCTTTACGGTTTCAGTATTTCAACTTTCCTTAGAAGCAAGCTACAATTTCCAAGACCACATACTCTTACTCCTTCCACAGTCACAAAAGTAAAATGTGTTCAGTTAGGATTCTTATATTAAAGCTATAAAACCAACACAACAAAAACCCCACCCTAAAACACACTTCTGTCTTTTTGACTTATGTTCTTCCCCTCCACTGAACAGCAGTAACTCTGGGATAACATGCAGGGATAATATGCAGGGATAATGCTGCAAAGAAGGACGCATAAAGAGAGTTTCATATTGTTAGAACTTCATCCACAAAGATGACAGAATCCAGAAGAAGAATTTAAATCTATAAGCAGATCCAAGAAAATCTATACAACAGGTCAATTGATCAGGACTTGCAATCCCAAAAACCTCCATGAAGTTTTCCATATTCAGTTTCCAGACTGTAACATCAGCTTCTGACACATTTCAGCATCTTTAAGATCCAAAGTCTTCCTTTCCCACATATTACTAGAAAGCACAGGTTCTTAAATTCACTGAATCCATCTAATTAACCTGGGTAATCATTGTCAATGACTTAGTCACAGAGATGGTCAGAACTGCCAGATCACAGCAGAACCACTGTTTACAATGCTTCCTACTTCAGGGACCAGTAATTTCAGCCTTTCACAACGATTGCTGCCTGCCCAAGGTCTTCAAATAAGGAGAGCAATTCAACTGCCTTCTTTCTAGGAGCTTGAAATAAGGTGCTGCCTATTTCTAAATGGCACATGTCTTTCTGAAGCAATGAAACTTCATCCAGTATTTGTGTCTTTTCTTGTGAGGTATTGATATTTACATTTGTTTTCCCATCACCACAAAGTTATTGCCTTCATTTTATAATAATAGAGTTATTACCTTCAATTTTAGAATACTGCAAACTGCTTAAACTCACTGAACTGTGAGCAGCTATCCTGATTTTACTGTGGAAGGTGAAATAATGCTAGAAACTATAGACAGAAATACAAAATAACAAAGTAAAATCCAGAATAAGCTCATTGCAAGTGAGCACTACATAAAACACTTACTTCTATGTTGTTGAAAGGGGAGAAAAAATTATAACTGCTCTAACAAGACCAGGTTAGAGATGCCAATGTGCCACTGTATATATTTATCATCAAATCACCATTTAGCTACTCCAGTTCACTTTGCATAAGTTTAGATAGTAAAAACATTTGATGCATGAACTATCTCTATGCTATAAAGATTCCAAGCATAAAATAAAGTGTTGCAAAACAAAATAAAGTCATACCTGCTTTATGGATCTCATTCAGCTTTAGAGTGTTTCACTTGAACAAATTCCTAGATTCTGTTGTTGGATCTTTCACACTAGTTAATTTTCCTCAGTGTCATTCTATTCTGAGCACCAAAACAAATTTCCTACCACAGCCAAAGTGTAGAAAGAGGACATTATTTCCAACATTTAAAGTGGAAATTTTGCTCACCAGGATTTGGAAAATAAGAACACAGATACAGCAAAGTGTAAAGTATATCTTTTACACATACATACATGCATATGCACACACAGAGATGAGTCTAGGTTACACTGTAGAACTATTGCATTCACTTAAAAGAAAAAAAAAGAGCCTTACCCAAGTGTATACTCAACTGTGCTAATATAGAAAACAGAAGTTTGCATTTCACTGTGACACAGACCACTATAGACACTAACATGCAAAGATCACATAAATCTATGCATGAAGGATCCCAGGGCAGCTGCACAATACCAGTATACATTTCACATATTACTAGAACTCAAATACAAGTCTTTATAAGTGGGAAGATAAAAATTTCTGTTTTCTGAAAACATTCTTACTGCCAAAGAAGCAACATTGCTTTGGGCTCTGCTTCTTGCTGAAGACCTCTACACTTGTAGCATCTACATTTCTGGAAAGGCATAGTCATATCTACAATCAAAACAAGTCTGAAGTGACATTTTTATGGAATTCAGAAACACAACACATCAGACGACACCAAGTTAAATGGGAGTGTTGACCTGCATGACGATAGGGAGGCTCTACAGAAAGGCTTAGGTAGGTTGGATTAATGGGCCAACATTAATGGTATGAGCTTCAACAAGATCAAGTGCCAGGTCCTGCACTTGGGCCACAGCAACCCCATGCATCGGAACAGGCTTAGGGAAGTGTGGATGTAAAGCTGCCTGGTGGAAAAGGACTTGGGGGTTCTAATTGACAAGCGGCTCAATATGAGCCAGCAGTGTGCCCAGGTGGCCAAGAAAGCCAATGGCATCCTGGCTTGTATTAGAAATAGTGTGACCAGCAGAAGTAGGGAGGTGATTGTCCCCCTGTACTCAGCACTGGTGAGGCCACACCTGGAGTGTTGTGTCCAATTTTGGCCACGTCAATACAAGAGAGATATCGAGGTGCTGGAGTGAGTGCAGAGGAGGGCAACGAAGCTGCTGAAGGACCTGGAGAATAAACCATACAAACAACAATTGAGGGAGCTGGAACTGTTTAGTTTGAGGAAGAGAAGACTGAGGGGTGACCTCATCACTCTCTACAACTACTTGAAAGGACATTGTAGAGACATTGGTGCTGCTCTCTTCTCACAGGTAATTAGCAATAGAACAAGAGGGAATGGATTCAAGCTGCAACACGGTAGGTTTAGACTGGACATTAGGAAGAAATTCCTCACAGAAAGAGTGGTCAGACACTGGAATAGGCTGCCCAGGGAGGTGGTGGAGTCACCATCCTCAGATGAGTTTAAGAGTCGTTTAGATGTGGTGTTGGGTGATATGGTGTAGGGAAGAACTTTGTAGAGTAGGGTAGATGGTTGGACTCGATGATCCCAAGGGTCTTTTCCAACCTAGATGATTCTATGATCTTTTCTCCTCCTACAGAGGTCAACCACTAATTAGTTTAAAACCTCCCTTATCAAAATCACATTATCATTGCAGAATTTCTCCCCATGCACCATTTGGGTCCACATTCAAACCACAAAACAACTATAATAGGAAAACCCCACCATGCCGGGAACCTTCCCTTGAATTCCATGATTTGAGCTGAAGAGAGCCCAGAGTTCACCTGAACTTCCTAATACAGATTGAAAATAAAGCTGTCCTATTTACACAAACATTTTGAGTATTTTCCTAAACCTCTCTCATATTCCATTTCCCTACCCTCCAAAACCAAGCAGAACAGTTAAATTGAGAAAGACAGTAGGGAAGTTTGCTTACTTTTTGAACAGCACACTTAAACATTAAATTTTCACTGCTGTAGGACACCATGAAATGCAAGGATCAAATTCTAGAAAGAGGATTGACTCAGAGGACTCTTATAATATGTTTAATCAAAACAACAACCCTTACACGTGTCAGTTTCACTTCTACATAGTAAGAAACTCAAGAGAAACACTGAACATTAGCAGGGACACACTACAGAAGAATAACTTTGTGTAAACTCATTAAAGTTATATTTGGGGAGAGGGAAGGAGAGAGAATCGTTATGCATATAGCTAGCACTGAGACAATTACTCCAGTTACATCCTTTAGAGAACTCTTAATTACAGTATACTCTAGTGCATAAGTTCTTAAAGAATGGCCCACAATGCTTTACATCTCTCACATGCATTGAGCATTAACAACTATCGCACTGCAGATTAATTTTGGAATGCAGCTGACACCTAACCTCTTAAGGGGCTTTTCACAGCTACTATCTGATGGCATAAAAAGACATTCACCGTTAAAAGCAAAGACATTACTTATTGCCATAGCAAAAGTGAAGAAAAAACATCATATTTTCATGAAGAATTTCTGTTTTTAATCTATGGAATTTAACACTAGTCACAGAAAAGCAAGAGCATGCATGCATCCATTCACATCTTGCAGGCTGCAGAAAGCAAAGGAGATGACACGGACACTGCACCTCTGCACAGTTCCACATCCACACAAAAAGCTTCAAAGGAGAAGGAAAAAAAAAAAGCCAGAAAAAAAAAAAAAAAAAGCCGGCTAATTAAAGACCTACCTACCTACAACTTTACCATGTCTATGCCTGGAGCCCTGCAGTGCTGTTCAACAGCCCGGCACAGGACTAGGAACCAGAAGTTTTGAGCTCAGCAGGTTATTTTCCAGCGCAGCCACTGCCTCGCTGACTGACCTTGGGCAAGTCACTTCCCCTGCATCTCGGCTCCCCACCTGACAGCCTCCCCCTCCACAGAGCACTGAGAAAGGAAACCCGGTAATTATCTACCACAAGCGACTCTGCACCGGCGAAGCTGAAGTAGAAGAGGGAGGGGGGGGGGAAACGGGAGCGGGGGCTTCCTCGCTTACAGGTGATAAAAATCTCCCCGACACTGATTCAGCCTCCCGCCCGAGGGAAGATCTCCCCACACACCTTCCCTGCTTCCCTACGGTACGGGTTAAACCGGAGGAGAAGCCGGCGGCTCCGGCTCGCCCGCCCTAAGCGCCCACAGCAGCCGGGGGAGCCGAGCCGAGCCCTCCGGGCCTCCCGCCCCCACAGCCAGAGCCCTCCCGGCGGCCCCAGCCCGGCTGCGCACGGAGGCAGCGTTTACTTACAGCACCCGCCAGGCGGAAAACTCACAGGTGGCCCGGAGCCGCCGGCGATCCGGGGCTGAGAAGCGACCGACTTCCCGGGGAGGAGGTCACCTCAGCAGACCGGGGCCGGGGCGCCGCGCTCCGCTCCCCGCCGCGGGGCCGCTGCCGTCGCCCTCCCTGCGCGAGGCCGGCTCCCTCCCGCCCTTCCTCCCGCCCGGCTCCCCCCCCCC